ATGTCTGCATTTGTGATCGGAGAAACAACAAGCCTACTCTACACTGCTCAAAACTCGTGTTTGAATCATCAGTGGCAAATTCTTTAAATATAAAAAACGTACTTACAGGCTGTGAGTCAGAAGCGCCAGACTGTCCTTGCAAAGTTGGAACTGCCCAACTTTATAGAAACAGCCTTTGTGCCACAGACGCATTGTAGGCTACTGGTTCAGGAAACAGTCCTCATCCATCCTCCATAAAATGTGCTGCACACATCTGAATATTTGGGTTGAACTGTTCTGGAACAGTGTTGTAAATACAACTTAACCACTGATTTCTAGTTGTGTCCTCTTTTGGAAGGCCAAACAACGTAGTTTCGCTTTCACAACGAAACACACAGCGACTCCACAACATGGCAGCGGCGGCAACAGCAAGAATTAAAGTTACGCCTTCTTTCTTTGCGTGAACATTTGGGCGGCGTTATGCAAATCTTCCCACACAGTGACGTAGACATGTGGGGGCGTGTTAGAACAAGCCGTTTTAGGTAGGCGTGGCTGACTCTTAACTTTTATAAAGAATATCTTTGGATTTGAGACGTTAGTCTTTGCAACTTTACAGATATTCTTTATGCACCAAGAGCTTGTAACACTCCAAAGAGAAATGAAAAATTGAAATCGCATCATATGACATTAGAAATGTGTCTTATATTCCAGTGAAAATATCTCAACATGTGCCACCAATATTTTTTATACTTGTTAACCATTCATCAAAGAAAATTTGGTCAAAATCAATTTGCAAATGAAGTATAAAAAAAAAGAAAAAGGAAAATACAATTAAAAGATCGCTTTCTCTGATATAACGGAAGCTTTAATCTAAATAAAATAATAAATTTAATATATAATTATTTAAAATGTAAGCAAAGAGACATTATTATTTCTTGTCTTGTTTTCCAGTGAAAATATCTAAATATGGGCCACCAATATATAATTTATTCCATGTTTTAAGCATATATCAAATAAAATGTGCTCAAAAAACAATTTGCAAATGAAGAAGAATAAATGTAATTTAATTTGTCTTCTTGCTAGACAGATTGCTTTCTCTGATATAACGGAAGCTTTAATCTAAATAAAATAATACATTTAATATATAATTATTTAAAATTTAAGCAAAGAGACATTATTATCTCTTGTCTTGTTTTGTCTTGTTGTCTTGTGAAAATATTAAAATATATGAAACCAAATGTTTGTTTGTTTTTTTTTGTTATAAGAAAATATGGAAAATCAATTTGCCAGTGGGTAAGAAAATAAAATGACTTTAAAAATTGTGTTGTTACTAGACAGACTCCTTTCTTTGAAGGAAAGTAAAGGAGGCTTTAATCTAAATAGTATATAAATATAATAAAATATTTGATTTAAGTAATTATTTCAAATGTATACAATACAATAAACAATAAATTATATATATATAAAAAATATTTATTTCTTTATTTCTTTAATTTATTTCTAATATATATTTTGTCCATGCATTTATTTGTATATAACCCTGTGTTTATTTTGCAATTATGAGCAGCTGACTTCTTGTTATCTTTTCTTAAGAATGTTTAGCTATTGTCCCTGGATTTATTTAGTAATTAATCTATTTTTCAGTGAACAAAAATATAGAAGCAAAGTGTAAGGGACAAGGACAAAGGATAGGATGAAGACAACAGGAGATATTTGACCAGGATCTCTAAGGGCTACAGAGACGAGCCAGGAAAAGACAGCGAGTGACAAGATGGATAGAATAAATTCCCACTCACTTGGAGAACAGCCTTCTTAATTACCCGACCCACATCCTGTCTCCACTCCGGGATGTCCGGGTTGGCCTCGTCCAGATTAGGAGAGAAAGATAAAAGAAGCGATTTGAAGAATTCTGTCACAGAGGAAGAGAGAAGCAGAGACAGACCCTTAATTCTTTCTCTCATAAGATGCCCAATATCTTCTATCTGCTGTGATTTGTTCCAGATGATTTAGTCGAGCTGTAGCAGAGTTATTATTACTGACAGGTATGGAAAGGTTAGCGCTGATCACAAAAATGATTGCAGTCTATTTGGCAGTTGCCAGAAGGGAGTTTTTATGACTAGCTTGCAGTGTCAAGAGACAATTTCCTGTAATTCGGAATGCTCTGAAAGCTGCAATAATACATTTCATCAAGGTTAGGGTTATTTATACATACAGTAGATTATTGTTACCATAGAGGAAAAAAGTAAAGAGGAAAAAGTAACTTGAAACATAGGCCTTTATGTATGTAACATATATCACTTAAAAAGAAAAGAGCACAAAAAAAAACTATATTTAATGTCTCACTAAAGCATTGATAAAGAGCATAATATACAGTTGGATTGTGACCTATGGACTTCAAATAATTACAAATAATTTTTTAACACACATTTCACACACTTATTCGCTAGTTAATCAATTTCCTCTGTGATAACAATGTAAAAAATGGTCATGCATCACAGGAGAATTTTGTCTTTTTTTTTTTTTTTTCTTGTTATCCATATTTCTGCCACATCACAAATCAAGTATTGTGTGAAATTCTGAATTCTGTTGTCAAAATGATGGTAATGAAAGTGACATTTTAAAATTGTTTCTAATAAAATGGCTTATGCTAATTTCATAGATACACAAAATGATCACAGACACACAAGATTAAATAATATTTCCATCATTTTTCACAAAATAAAAACTGGATTAGAAATAACCCATTTTAAAAAGAAATACACACATTTACATTACATTTACATTTAGTCATTTAGCAGACACTTTTATCCAAAGCGACTTACAATTGGGGGATACATAAAGCGATTCTTCTTAAAGAGGCAAACAGACACAGGGAGTGGTTGTAATACCAAGTTCTTAGACATCTCACCTTGTATGGCGATGCTTCTGGTGTCCTGTAGTATAGAGTCCCCTGACGAGACCTGAACAGTGATGGTGACCATGCCCTCGGTGCTGAACGTGTGAGAAACACTGCTGTCCAACGTAATTATGGGCTAGCACCACAAATGTAGTGGATACAAAACAAAAACAATCAAAACACAATCCAACGGCACACAGAAAATCACATTTTTTGTTATTTGTAAGCTCAGTGACTTGAAAAGGAAACTCTTTTAAAATGAATAGCACCAACAGCTTTATTGATGTTTCAGGGCAAACAAGCATAAACTAAAGAACACATCTACTGTAAATACCACAAACACGACAAGAACAAGAACTACATTATTAACGGTTCATTGCTCCTGTTCTGTTTATCTTCTACCGTAAAATGTCTTGGAGGCCTTTGCCCAACAAAGCGAGGCAGAAAATCTGTAATTAAGTGCTGGTTGTACCTCCGTGTTGTTCCCCAGCCACCAGAAATAGGTGAGCGTTCTGAAATGAGAAGGCCAGACCACTGCCGTCAAGTTCACCTCCTTATTCTTAATGACCACATATGGAGCCAGCAGCTGAATATGCTCCACAGGGCCTGAAACACACACACACACACACACACACACACACACACACACACACACACACACACACACACACACACACAGACAATACAAGAACATCAAACAGGGCAAGGGGTGTGCAAAAACTAAATATTTAGCAAAATCAACTAGCACCATGAATAACTAGTTGACTATTTGGTCTTGTATAATTAGACTGGTTTCGGCTTCACCTTTCCCTGATTGGACGCTGTTCAAAAACAGCTAGACGGAAAGCAAGGGAATGGAAACAGAACGCAGGGGTCTTGAGACCTGTTTTTAAAAGTTTGAGTATTTTTAACTTGGCACAGTATTTTAAAAACGCAACACTCGCAGTGGGACGCTCAGAAGTCAGTCAGCATGTGTATAGCTGTAGCGGATACATGGATTTAAACAAGTAACTTTTCCAAGACAGTTTTAATGAGCTAACAGTCTAACACCTAAAGTACAACACGCTAAATGAAGCATTAGCAATAAAAATGTCAAAATTTAAAAAAAAAAAAAAGGATAGAAAGAATATAAACTATTTGGACAACTAGTCAACCATTGTGACCCATACATAGTAAGTATGCACAAAGACATGAACAAATGACCAAATGAACATAGATCATTAAAATTGGTCCTTACTATCATTTCTGTCATCTATCATATATTCATTCAGCTGAGATCTTTCTGCATTGTTGTGCAATTCTTTGCTTATTTAAATAGTCCAACCAATTTTTATTTTATTAAATAATTCTGCTTCGGTATTTTAATACATATCAGGAAATAAATTTTGGACCTAATTGCTCTCATCTGATCACAAGTGCCCACCCCCTGTTTGTTTGTGAAAAGTGGAGCTAAAAGCAGTAATTAAGCACCGCAGTCTACTACACCTGTGGAGTTGACAGACACATGCAGATTTTAGCAGAGCAACTATGAAAGTCACCTACCTAGAGTATTCTGCACAGTTTGTGTTTAAGAGATGTTTATTCAAATGTTTACAAACCAGTGCCCAGCCACTTTATTGTCTATGTGGCTACCAATGTATCTGTATAAATTTGAAGATTATTTAACAGAGTAGACAAGACAGTCAATAGTATTTGTTGTATAATTCGTGTGCTACATAAAGTAGGATACTGAACCATAGTGAAATAATAATTTGTATTGCATTTTTAATTATTATTATATAATTATTATAAAGTATTTTTGTCTTAGTCAGAATTACTTGTACTTTTAGTGTACTTCAAATCTTATATATATATATATATATATATATATATATATATACACACATACATACACACATAT